ACTGCCCCGGCCATGATGAACGAGATGATGGCAGCGATTCAAGCCCTTCGGTCCGAGGTGGCAGAGCTACAGAGCGAGAAGCGAGGCAGCCGGCCTCGCCGGGAGACTCACCCGGACACCGAGATGGGCTCGAATCACAGCTTCGAGAAGGTGTCTGCGCCGAAGTGAGTGAACCACCCGCAGCTACCGCACAGGTGACCTCAGCACAGCGTAAGTCCGGAACCCTAGACAACGCACGTCAGGACCTTAACGCAGGAGCAGCCCAGACCTTAGAGGAGAAAGCCTGGTCCCTAGTGCCAGGTTTGTTCCAGGATCTTGTGAATCATGATCGGACAGTGCTGATGGAGGTGTGCTGTGCCCCAGACAGTGTGTTGTCTGCTACCGTGCAACGGCTGACCAATTCAGAGTCAGCAGCCTCACGTTGTGCGTTATGGAACTCATGTGACGTAGGGACTAAAGAAGGGTTGCAGTTGGTGCTGAGTAGGATTGACCTGGAACAACCGGTGATGGTGTGGATGTCTCCCCCAGTAGGACCTTACAGCCCTCTCCAAAACCTCAACACCCGAACCCAGGGACAACAGGAGGCTCTGAACCAGAAGCGGTTGGAAGCACGGCGAATATACCTGAGCTGTTGTGTGATCTTTCAGTATTGCATTCAGAAGGGGATTCATGTGGCATGGGAGATGAGTGAAAGATCCTTGGCTTGGCGACTACCCATGCTGCAGCGACTGAAGCAGAAGTTTGGAGTGTTTGAGGTGGTTACCAAGGGGTGTTCGGTTAATCTTCGGGAGTCACCACAAGGGAAGTTCCTGCAGCGTGGTTGGCGTGTCTTGACGACACAACCAAGGGTTGCCAAACTGCTTGATTTGCCCTGTAGGTGCCCAAAGTCATACTGTCATGCCCGATGCAATGGACCACACAAAACCCATGGAGATGCGTATACTAAAGAGTTCGCACAGAGGGTTGCCAAAGGGGTGCTCCAGGAACTTGAGTTTTCGGACGTTCAGAAGGAAGGACAGGGCCAAACGCAGTTATGTGAGATGTTCGGTGTTGGAGACACCTGTTTTTGTGAAGACCTGAAGATTCCGAACTTGCCGGAACAGAAGTGCACCAAGTGTTGGCGCTGGGGTTTATCTTCAGAGATAAAGGGATCTTCGGAAGAGGAGGTTGAGGTTCACGAAACCACAGGTGTAGAGAAACAAGCCCAGGCTGACAGACCCCAGGTGGAACCCCAGGTTTTCAGTGCTAACAAAGAAGAGGAGACAGGGTTCAAGGCAAGCAAGGCAGACTCCGAGGCCAGAGCCAAACAGCTAATCCAAGCGGGAGACTACACGATGCAAGCCTTGGAGAAGCTCCTGAACACCTCGAACCTGCAGCCCCCTCACAAGAACCCGAAACGAGCATGCCGTCCGACTTCTGAGTACTTGACTCTTGGCATGTACAGTTATGGAGGGTTCTATGGGTTGACCACGGCGACCACGGAACGTCCGTGGTTGACCAAGTATTTGAACCAGTTTGCTCGAAAACAGTTGCCCAAGGAAGCTCAGTGGACTTCGGTGACGATTAGTAGGAACAACAAACTTCCCGTGCACAAGGACCAACACAACCACCCGAAACACCTTAGCCACCTGGTAGGTGTAGGATCTTACAAAGGAGGTGAGCTCTGGGTCCACGACCCAAAGCTCACCGAACAGAGTCAAGACACCCTGCCACAGGTGCGAGAAGATGGAACCCAGTTGCTTGGCACAGCGCAGGCAACCCGGCACAAGGTTCTGACTTTCTGTGCAAAAGAGTGGCATGCAACATGTCCATGGGAAGGAGAGCGTATCACTGTGACCTTCTATGTGAGCCGGGGATGGGGCTGTGCTGAAGCGTCCGTTGAACAAGAGGTTTTGGATGCAGGGTTTCGGATGTGTGAGCCGGAGCAAGCCAACGTGTTGCAAACCAGGCGCCCATGGAGCATGAAGTTCCGTAGTGCGAGTGAGAAAGAAGAGGAGAATCAAGCGACAGTTGTATCTTTTGCATGCTGCCACCGGCCATGGAAGTGTGCGTCATTTGTACCAAGCCTTGAAACGTAGAAATGCGAGCCAGAAGGTGTTGGACTTAGCCAAGACGTTTCGTTGTACGGTCTGTGAAGAGCGACAGAAGATACCACCACAACGGGTGGCATCACTGGAACCGTTGCCACCGAAATGGGCCACGATTTCGGCCGACATTGGCCATTGGCAAAACCCACACACGGGGGAACATGTTGCTTTCATGGTGATCAT